TGAAACTGGCTGGGTGTGGTGATTCATGACTGTAATCCCAGAACTTTGGGAGGCCAAGGCAGGTGGATCACTTGAGGTCAGGAGTTTGAGACCAGCCTGGGGAACATGGCGAAACCCAGCCTCTATCAGAAATACAAAAATTATCTGGGCTGGTGGCATGGGCCTGTGGTCAGAGCTACCTGCGGGGCTGAGATGGGAGGATCACCTAAGCCTGGAAGGCAGAGGTTGTAGTGAGCCAAAATTGCACCGCTGTGCTCCAGCCTGGGTGACAGAGTAAAACCCTATCTCAAAAACAAAACAAAACAAAAAAACCCTGAAACTACTTCCCCCACTTTCTTGGCTGTGTAAGTTTGGGCATCATTAAGCTTTCGGTGCCCCAGTTTGCTTATTTGTGTAGTGGGGATCATCATAGCCCCTTTCTATGGGTGGTCATGGGGATTTCAGTAGAAAAGAGCTCAGCACAGAGCCCAGCACACCTAGGCGAGATGGGGGCACGGAGGAGTTAAAGAGGCAGCTGGCCAAGTGCATCCTTCCCTGGGACATGCTGGGAAACCCACCCCCACCCCATTATCACACTTCAGTGCCTCCCCTGGGATAGAATTCTGGTGTGAAAGCGGCAGCCTTCTGAGGCTGGATCTAATTTAAAGAGATGTGCTCCTGTCTCCTCCCTTCTCCCTCCCCCAGATAGTGGGAGATTGCACCAGCTTGTATTTCAAAAGTTGAGAAAAGCAAATCTGAGAAACGATGCCAAGAATCGGGACTAAATGAGTTCACAGATTGGGAAGGCACTGATAAAGCTGTTCTTGCGCACGTCTTCGGCTCCCGAGGGATTCTCCCACCTACTCCCCCGCCGCAGGCCCCTGATCCACCCTCTGCCGGGAAAGCTTGTCCCCCACTCAGTGCAGAACCAGCTTCGAGAAAAGGAGGCTTTGTGGTTCTCAGAGCATGGGAAGCCCCCCGCAAAGGAGTCTGGACCCACCTTCCACACACATGCAGTCATCAAAGCATTTGTTGTTGAGGCCTCGGTTGTGGGGTGTGCAGAGATGCTCCCGCAGGTCACAGCAAGTCCCTGCCAACACAGAGAGCACGTTCAGTCAGCCGCCCCGAGCCTCCCCTCCCCGCAGCCCTGCACTCCGTCCTACTGGACAAGGGATCCATCATCTCTGTGGCAGGCCGTGCCCTGGCGGGGTGGGCCATCTGGTGTGCAAGGCTCCTGGGTGGAACTGCAGACGGATGTCATGGCCGAGGCCCCCAAGGGTCGGCGGCAAAGACCCCAGCTGCCTCAGATAGGCAACTGACTGATCATGGAAGAGCGAAGGTGGTGTGAGGTCTCCTCCCAGAGAGACCAGAACAGCTGGGGGCTGCCAGGTGTGGAGTCAGCTCAGAGCTGGGAGGGACCTCAGGATCCCCAACACCAACGTCCTCTTTTGACAGATGGGGAAACTGAAGCCCTGGGCACCTGCCACGGAGCCAGTTCCCAGAGCGACGGTCCAGTCGGCCCAAACGCGGGCCTTTTCTTTGCGCCCAGGGTGAAAACAATGGTTTGGGAATGAAGCAGCCTGTCAGGGAGCTGGTGGTCTGCCTTATACGATGCTAATTGCTGGTTTGGTTGCTGTTCTGTGGAATATTCTGGTCATCGGTCTAACAATCGTGGTGCCATGGAGGTGTGCTGCTGGGATCTCTCCTGGGGAAAGCGCTTGCTGGCGGCCTCCAGCTGGTACAACTTCAGGGCCACCTCCGCCCACGGCAGGCTGTTCCCAGCAGCCCCTGCCAATGACTGGCACAGGGGTTCTGGGGCCCAGCCATTTCTCCTCAGCATGCGCCTTGTTTAACAGGCCACCTCTGCACCGGAACGCCTCCCAAAGTGCTGGAATTACAGCATGATGTCTGAAGCTTCCCCCCTCCAATCCAGCTTCCTCCCCCTCTCATCATTCACAAGTGTTTCCCAACCTTAGCCCACCCCCAAAAAAATCTGTTGCACTTTTTGTTTTGTTTTGTTGAGACAGGGTCTTGCTCTGTCACTCAAGCTGGAGTACAGTGGTGCGATCACATCTCACTGCAGCCTTGACTCCCGAGGCTGCCTTAGCCTCCGAATAGCTGGAACCACAGGCGCACACCACCAAGCTTGGTTAGTTAATTTTTTTTTTTTTGGAGACAGAGTCTTGCTTTGTCAGAGTGCAGTGATGCAATCTCGGCTCACTGCAACCTCCACCTCCCAGGTTCAAGCAATTCTTTGCCTCAGCCTCCCGAGTAGCTGGGGTTACAGGCGCCTGCCACCATGCCCGGCTAATTGTTGTATTTGTAGTAGAGACGGGGTTTCACCATCTTGGCCAGGTTGGTCTTGAACTCCTGACCTTGTGATCCACCTGCCTCAGCCTCCCAAAGTGCTGGGATTACAGGCGTGAGCCACCGTGCCCGGCCAAGCCTGATTAATTTTTTAAATTATTATTATTTTTGGAGATGGAGTCTTCCCGTGTTGCCCAGGCTGGTCCTGAACTCCTGGGCTCACATGATCCTCCCGCCTTGGCCTCCCATAGTGCTGGGATTACAGGTGTGAGCCACTGCGCCAGGCCTCATACTTCTAACTTACCTCAGTATCTGCTTCCTGGAGGGCCCGATGGACCCCCAAGGGCCCCCAGCGTTTAGGACATTAGTTACAATGTCCAGCTTCTTGTTTTTAGACTGTCTCCATGGGGACGGGCTGCCGAACAGTGAGGATGTCACCAAAAGCATCTCCGGAGTGCCCGGCAGTGTTGTGATGGGACAAGGACAGCATTAAGCCCTGCCTAGCGTCAGGAGGAAGAGGGCAAGACAGGATCATCCCGATTCAAGACACCGTGGGGCTCTGAAGAGGCTTTCCAGCCAGGCCAGGTTGGAGCCACTTCCTAACTGTGTGACCTTGGGCAAGACAGCCTCTCTGGGGCTCAATCACCTGACTTCAAAACTGGGTTGTTGTGAGTAATGTAATTTTTTTTTTTTTTGAGATGGAGTTTCCCTCTCGTCGCCCAGGCTGGAGTGCAGTGGCGTGATCCCAGTTCACTGCAACCTCCACCTTCCAGGTTCAAGTGATTGATTCTCCTGCCTCATCCTCCTGAGTAACTGAGATTACAGGCATGTGCCACCATGCCTGGGTAATTTTTGTATTTTTAGTAGAGATGGGGTTTCGCCATGTTGGCCAGGATGGTCTCAAACTCCTGACCTCAGGTGACCCACCCACCTCGGCCTCCCAAAGTGTTGGGATTACAGGCGTGAGCCACCATGCCTGGCCGTGAGTAATGTATTAAATGAATGAATGTCTGACGGCAACTCTCAGGAAAGTGGCAGCTGTTGTTATTATTTATCATCCATGAAGGGTCAAGGATCCTCAGGTCCTGCACACATGGGAACCCCCACTCCCACCCAGGTTTCCTCTCAGCACCCAGCCTGGTGCCTTGAATGTGGGTGCTGGCTGCCGCCCGGAGAAAAAGGAGGGGGGCGGAAGAGGAAGGAAGACTGAGCCCGGGAGAGAGAGGGGAGGGGGCGGCGTGCGACTGGGTCATGCAGGCTGGTACCTGGCAGGCAGTCTTGGTGATGGTCGCATGGTTCCCCTTCGACTGGTGATGTTTCGTTACCATCACTGGAGAGTTTACCCCGGTGTTTCTCTGGGGACAAGAAGATCTGTCGTTAGAAGCTGGGGCCCAGCAGAGCAGAGGTTAAGCACAGGGACTCAGGTGTTGGAGTGCCCATACCACCATCCTACAGCGTGGCTTGGACAAGGCACTATACACCTCTCTCTCTCTGCCTCAGTTTTCTTTTCTCTAAAATGGGATCAACAGTACTACGGACCTAACAGGTATTTTCCCCCAGGGTAACATGAGTGGAAACATGGAAGCGTGTGGCACGTGATAAGCATGTGACAGCATTCTCCATTCCAAGAGGCATTTCCAGGTTAGGCTCCATGCTCTCCCCCTCTCCCCGCATACCACCTTTGGACATCTGAAGATCAGACAGGGCTCACTGGGGCCCCCACCTCAACAGATGGTGAGGGAGGGCAGGGCGCCCAGGCATGGAAGGTGGTGGGGTAGGTGGGCATACCTTTCTTCTTTGCAGAGGGCCAACCATTAGGTTTTAAGTCTTCATAATCGGTCCAGTCGAACAAGGCCATGTCCAGCGTGGGCATCACCTCCCCATCAGGCCTGGGCTGTGCCTGTTGGAGACGGTGAAGAGGGAGGGATGTTGGAACCTTCGAATCCATGGAAGCAGGAGTGTGGAGTCCCAAGACCAGAGGGCAAAAAAGAGGCTTCTCAGGGGCTACCTCATCCTCTGCTGGGCAGCCTGGAGTCTCGGCCCGAGGACGTAAAGATGGCTGCCGCGGCCGGGCGCGGTGGCTCAAGCCTGTAATCCCAGCACTTTGGGAGGCCGAGACGCGCGGATCACGAGGTCAGGAGATTGAGACCATCCTGGCTAACACGGTGAAACCCCGTCTCTACTAAAAAATACAAAAAAGTAGCCGGGCGAGGTGGCCGGCACCTGTAGTCCCAGCTACTCGGGAGGCTGAGGCAGGAGAATGGCGTAAACCCGGGAGGCGGAGCTTGCAGTGAGCTGAGATCCAGCCACTGCACTCCAGCCTGGGCAACAGAGCCAGACTCCGTCTCAAAAAAAAAAAAAAAAAAAAAAAGGTGGCTGCTGCAGGCTCCTGTTCCAGTGTTCACTAGGTTAATTTCCTCTCTTTGCAGCCATTACTCAAGAAGAACCATGCAGACACACACAGGTGAGTTACCCACCAGGCCCTCTGAGGAGGGGCAGAGACCACCCACAGGCTGGGAAGGCAATCTTGCTTGCCCAGGGTCTTTAAGCCCATGACGAGGGAGTTGGGCTCCCTCTCCCATAAATAAAAGCCAAGTCACTCACTGGACTTTCCCATCCCTTCCTCTCTCAGCAGAGGTTACCAGCTCTCTGCGGCACCATTGAGGCCACAACCAGGGCTCAGTCCCACTCACAGCCCAGGTCAGTGGCCCCAGGAATGCAGAGGGCTAGAGATCATGGCTGGATCTACACATGGGCCTGTGCGCGCACTAGGACATGGGCAGGAACTGCACCTACTAGGCTGGGCTGCAGGGGGCCTTGGACGATGACATGGATAACCATGCATTCCTGAGGAACGGTCCGCAGCTTTCATCACAGTCTCAAGGGCGTGCAAGACCCCAAAAAAGGATAAGAAAGATCTGCTGCTAAAAAAGCTTCATTTCTTTTGTATTTTTAGTAGAGACGGGGTTTCACCATGTTGGCCAGGCTGGTCTCGAACTCCTGACCTCAGGTGATCCACCTGCCTCGGTCTCCTAAAGTGCTGGGATTACAGGTGTGAGCCACCCACCGCACCTGGCCTATTTCTTTTTTATGTATTTTTTAATACATATATGTTATTGATCCTTTTAAATAATTTTATTTTGAAAACCTTTCAAAGCCACAGAAGAGGTGCAAGAATGATGCAGTCAGCTCCTATATACCCCTCTTCTAGAATCACCAGTGGGTAGTGTTTTTGTCACATTTGCTTGCTTACTTTCTCTTCACATATATATTTTTTTCCCTTGAGACTGGCTGTTACTCTGTTGCCCAGACTGGAGTGCAGTGGTGCAATCATGGCTCACTGTAGCCCTGGGTTCAAGCGATCCTCCCACCTCAGCCTCCCAAGTAGCTGGGACCACAGGCACATGCTTTCATGCCTGGCTAACTTTTTAAAGAAGTTTTATAGACACAGGGTCTCACTATATTGCCCAGGATAGTCTCAAACTCCTGGGCTCAAGTGACCCTCCTGCCTTGGCCTTCTAAAGTGTTGGAATTACAGGTGTGAGCCACCGCGCCCGGCCCACATACCTTTTTTAAAGATCTGACGCAGATGGGTCCAAGTGTTAGCTAATGCTTATTAATTCTGGGTCTTGACGACATGGTTTTAAAAATCACCCTTATTATGCTTCATGTTCCTCTGTATGCAGAAAGCTCCTACCCAGGCCTCGCTGCTCTCCATGCAGACACCAGCATGCTGAGCTGCCGCTTGCCTCCTTGGCTGTCCCCAGAGTGGGCCCCTGGGACCACTTTGCCCTGGACAGTGGCAGCCCCTTGTCAGGATGGAACACCCACCAGGGCTGGAGTTAGACTGGATGAGCAGCAGGAGATCTGGTTTCAATCTAAGCTCTGTGGCCTCCTGCCCCCGTGCCTCAGTCTCCCTACATGTACTAACAGGGTTTTCCATGACATGGGCTCAAGGACCCTTCCAGATCCGAGGCTGTTTGGGGACCCCTTACCTGGGGCTGCAGGGAGGTGACAGGCAGGATCAGGGACTCTTCTGTGGCAGGTGCTGCCTCAAAGGTGGTGAGGAAGAACATGGTGGGGGCCAGGCTGGTGGAGGACTCCTCCATGGCTGCGTCCAGCGCCTGGGCTTCGGAGAGCTCCGCCTTCTTCATCAGGGAGCTGGGACCTCGGACCAAGGCTCGGCCTGAGACACAGGGTGGGGAGCACAGGGGCTGTATCTGCTTGCCAGCTCGTGGCAGTCTATAGTAGAACCCACGTTTTATGCTACAAACTGGGAGGTAGCAGGGACCATGTGACAAGCCCTTGGTTCAGCCCCCATCCCTGCTTCCTACCCTTCTTGGGGGGGAGGGGGAGGGGAACTTGGAGGAAAATGTCTTGGAAGAACTTGCAGTGTCGCTGGGAAGACAGCGCAAGGATTCTCCCTGTAAAGCAACATTCCAGCAAGTGCAAGTCCAGGTTGGCTGGGCGCAGCCAGATATGTAAGTGTAACAAATGGGAACTAGTAGGATTAACCATGGAAGGCTTCCTGGAGGAAGTGAAGTTTGAGTAGGGAGAAGTGTCATGAGGCTGAGAATCATTGCAGTGGCCTTTCAGAAAGCTGGGAGGTGGGAATCACTGCTTACCACACATAAGTGAGAGCATCCTGTGTGGTAATAATTAGTCATCACCCCCCTAATGGAGCACCTGCTGTGTGCTGGGTACCAGATGAGCTGCATCACAAGCATTATTTTATCTAACTACTGCAAGAGCTCTGGGAAGTGGGTGCTCCTTCAGTCTTACCTACAGGGAAGGAAACTGAAGCACAGAGAGGTTAGGTGACTTGCCCAAGGATGCACAGCTCATGAGTAGTAGGGCCTGGATTCAATTCCAGCAGGGCTGGAGTGCAGGGGCTCAATCTTGGCTCATTACAACCTCTGCCTCCAGGGTTCAAGTGATTCTCCCACCTCAGCCTCCTGAGTAACTGGGATTACAGACCTGTGCCACCACACCTGGCTTATTTTTGTTTTTTTGGTAGAGATGGGTTTCTCCATGTTTCCCAGGTGGCTCTCGAACTCCTGATCTCAAGTGATCCGCTCGCCTCAGCCTCCCAAAGTGCTGGGATTACAGGTGTGAGCCACCACGCCTGGCCCGGCCTGAGGTTTCACAGCCAGTTGTCAGCAGAACAGGGCCCACCCCGCAAACCTTCTCCGTTCCCCGCCTCCTCCTCTCCATGTCAACTCTCTCAGGAGGCCTGGCTGCAGCCCTGGAGCTGGGGGAGCAGGAGCCCAGCAGGACAGGTCCACACCCCACACGTGCCCTCTAGCTGTCCTCAAGGGTGCCAGCATCCTCCCCCGAAAGCTGACACAGGTGACCCCAGGAGTGGGAGGCTGAAAGTCAAAGCCAGGGGACCCTGACTGGCCTCTGCCCACTTGGGGGGTTCTCAGGCCTCGCAGGGAAGCCAGCCTCAGCTGTTTGCATAAGAGGCGCTGAGGCTCCATTGCCTTCCTGCCAAAGAACCCTGCCACCACCACTGCGTTTGTGGCACTCGGCATGCCCCTAGAGGCAGTCTGGTCACACAGAAAGCTTAGAAGCTGAGTTCCCTGGCTTAGGGCCAGGCAAGGCTGGGAGGAGCCACCTGACTGGAGCTGCCAGGATATGCCTGCTCTGAGACTGAATGGGCACCGGGAGGGGGAAGCCCGGGCCAGCAGGGGGCTAGCTAGCTCCCAGGGGATGTGGAGGAAATGTTCAGGAAGGTGGGAAGGGCTAGGGGCGCACCGAGACAAACAGGGCAGAGGCAGGAGCAGGAGGCAAGTGATGCTTCTCCTGGAGTCACCTGCATCCAGGTTGGAGGACACTGATTTGGCCTCAGCACGGGGCTGGGATTAACCAGAGCAATGACCGCTCGTGACCCTGCCAGCTGAGCCCCAAGTGCCCCACTAACCAAGTCTCTGCAACGACACTGAGGGTAGGTGGGACCAGTCTCTTCGCTTTACAGAGGGGAAAACCAAGGCACAGAAAGAGAACTTGCCCAGGGCCACACCCGAGTAAGTGGTGGAGGCAGGACCTGATCTCAGGCAGACCTGGCTTCAGAGTCTAGGCTCTTAGCCCCTACCCAATGCTTCAGAGTCGAGTAAGGAATGTGCTTGGAGAGCACTGAGCTGTTGCTCCATCTCTACTCAGAACTTACAGTAGGAGAAATTTAGGTAGAACTTCCTGATTCAGGAGGATGATCTGTTGATAAGACAGATTCTATTGCGATGTATCCCTCTCCTCTTCCCATGCCCCAACCCTAGGCCTCTCCCCGCCTCCTCCCCTTACCAGGTCCCTCTGAGACCCCTCCTCTCCTCTGGATATTCTTCCAGGGACTTCACAGCCCTGATCCGTCCCTGCATCCTGTCCTGCTCCCCTCAGTCCATGGCAGGAATTCCCCCATCCCCACCCCTCGCAGCTCTCCAGCTACCTCGGTGCAGCCTCAGCCTGTCCCTGCGTCTCTTGTGCTCCCTGCTGCGTTTCCTGGCCCTCTCCCAACCTGGAGGTCGGTTCTCCTTCTCGGGGTAGGGCACTGCCAACCCCAGGAGCAGGTCCTTGTCCTGCAGCAGGCCTGCAGGACTCTGCTCAGGCAGCGGCCCTTCCGCCTCTGGCAGCCTGGAGGCCTGCCTGGTGGCAGTGACCACAGCCCCATCCTGGGCCTGGCTGGGCAGGCCTGGGCCCCACTCCTTCTTGCCCAGGCCCCGCCGGCGGTGGTGGCTGGCCTGAGGCGTCCACAGCGCTGGGCCTGGGAGGTCGATGTGATTCTCAGGGAGGTTCCGAGCAGGGGTGCCAGGTGCAAGGGCGCCTGCCAGGCTCAGCTCCAAGGGCAGCAGGAGGACGAGGAACAGCATGGGGGCGGTGTGGGTGGCAGGCCCAGCCATTGGCTCCTCCCTGCAAGAAAAGCAACACCATGAATTCGAAGCCCCAGGCCCCTCCTCTGCTGCCCCCCCTCCCCCCGCTCAGATGATTAAAGCCCAGTTTTTCTCAACAGCCACAGAGGGGGATTTAGACCCCGCAGATACTTGGCAATGCCTGGAGACATATTTTAGTTGTCAAAACTGGGGAGTGCTACTGGCATGTAGAGGTTGGAGCCCCGGGATGCTGCTAAACGCCCGACAATGCACAGGACGGCGCCCCGAAACCGAGATTCATCCAGCCCAGAAAAACAACAGTACCGAGGCTGAGAACCTCCGGCTTAAATCATTTCAGCAGCATCCAAGTTCCAGATCAGTCCAGAATTCCTTTCTCTGCACAAACCTCTGCCCCTTACCAAGTCCCCCAGAAGGGAACTGAGTCCCTCAGAGCTCAGAAATGTGCCTCTAGGCCCTGAGACTTGACTCGGAGCCTAATTCCATACAAATGGAATAATAGCGTTTGAACGCACGCTGTGGGCAGGACCCACGTTAAGAGCTTTGTGTGAATTCATGTCACTTCGCCCTTTCAATAGCTCTCTGAAATGGCTCCTGTTATTTTCCTCATTTTTCTGAAGTGGCAATTAAGGCTCAGAGAGGTTAAGTCACAACTGGTAAGTGGCACTATGTCATTTCTATCCCTGAGCCCTGAACCCCGTGTGGCGGTCCCAGGATGGCCCAGCTCTGCCTTTTTCTTCTCCCACGATGAGCTCTGAGGCCCCAGAATGTTCTGACACTGTCCCTTCTCCTGGCGGAGGGGCTTTGGGGACAGCTTTGCAGACTTGGTTCTGACCCCTGCGGGGTAGACTGAGCCAACCGGACCTAGCCTCAGGAGAGCCCCCTCAGGGGACCCGGTGCCCTTCCTCCACACTGGAGGGAGAAGCTGCAGCTCAGGGGATGGTGGGGGCGTCTGTCAGACTCTGGAGATCTCCTGCCCCCGTGGGCCACCCGCAGCTGCTCCCCCACGCACCCCCCTCCATTGCACCAGCCTCACCGTATCCTGGAGCTGGGCACCAGGTTAGCCAGGCTAATTGAATTTTTATGGCCTCCCGAGTATTCCACTAGGCTGGCAAGGGTGCTTACGCCACCGTTTCTTTGTGATTTGTGACCATATAATTGCCCAGGGCTGAGGAAAGGTTGGTGGGCCTGTGATGTGTCCCTGCTTCCTGGCGCCTCTCCCTGCGGCTCCCATGCTGGCTGGCCCACCCCAGTGTCACCTTAGCTGACCCCAAGTGAGGGTGGGAGGGGCGGGGAAACTGCTGTGCCTTTGGAGCCCTGACCACCCACTTGGGGAGGGGAGGGGGGAAACACCTCCTTCAGCCTCACAGGGTCTGTGGTGGCTTCACCTGGCTCTGCCTCCATCCCAGCCTGGCATGTCCTGGTCTCCTGGGATCCTGGGCCCTGGCCTCCACTGCCCACAGCTCAGTTCTTCCTAGAACCATGGGTGGAGACAAGGAGGTGGCCATCACTTTCCATCTTGTCCCCTATCCCAGGGATCCGGCTGAAGATTCTGAGTGAGCCTTGGTGACGTGTGTGGGACCCTGGGACAGGCTTGTTGTGACAACCTTGTCTCCCATCACACCTGCATCCGTTCCTAAGGCCACAGACCCTGCACCACAGTCCCTGCTACTGTCCTGGTCACCTCACCAGCAACAGAAGGCACTGCCCCACTGGCCTTGCTTCCAGCCCTTCCCTAACAAGTGCTCTTGAGGCCAGAGCTCAGCAGGCGGGACCTGTGCCCTAGTTCCTGAAGCAGCCCAGGGGGTGGAGGGGCCTATTTGGAAGGCCTGTCACTCAAGCATTGTTCGGGGCAGAGGGAACCTCAATCCTTCTTCGGGGCCAGTGGATTAGGGCTGCTCTCTGGGCTGGTGTTTAGCCTGACTACTGCCAGACTTTGCCCCCTGCTCTTCCTGTGATTGGAAAGGCCAAGCGCATATGGGATCCTGTCCATGTCTGAGACCCAGCCCTGCCTTTCTGTCCTGCAGGGACATGACAGCCTGGGAGAAGCCCAAAGAGCATCCCAGGGACAGGGAAACTTCGGGGCGTTGGCCAATGAATGGAATCACTGCCTCCTCCTTGTCCTGGGGGTTGAGGAGAATGAGGTAGAAAAAGCCAGACAGCGCGGGCAAGAGAGCAGAGGAGGCTCGGCAGAGAGGTGGGCAGCTTCTCAGCTAGCCCGCTGTCCCCGGGGACACACGAGGCTGTCAGTAAACCTCACAACCAGCCTCTGAGCCTGGTGACCAGCCTAGGTGCTGGTCTTGGAGGACAGTTCCTCCCCTGCAGAGCCAGGAGATGAACCCCCACTCCCACCCGACTCCAACACCCCCAAGCAGCATGGTCCCACCCGGACTGCCATCTCCCCAAGCTCTGTTGCCAAGACCCTATTTGGCTGTGGGTCTGTTCACTGCGCCCATCCTGCTTCAGGGCCAGTGGAACCCCAGTCTGAGTGCCATCTTTGTTCCTTCCCACGCTTCAAGCCCCACATATCACCCACGCGGCCAGCCTGGGACAGAGGAAATGGGATTTCAGTGTGCAGTGCCAGAGCACCCATGGGGGTGCACCCAAGGGGGCTCCATCCTCTCCCCAGACCCAGCACATACTGGTGGTATGGCTACTCGGGTTGTGACCCTTATCTGCTCAAAACTGTCTATGGCTCCCTATTGCCTTTCCACATAACCACAAACTCCTTACTTTGGCACTTAAGACCTCATGTAATATGGCCCCAATCAAGCTTTGCAGCTCCACCTTCTACTTTCTCCCCTTCACAGGCAACAGAGATTGCTCCCTAGGCCCCAAACACACCCCCACTTTCTGGATCTCCGTTCTCACTTAGGCTGTCCCCTCTGCCTGGAACCTCTCCCCTCCTCCCTCATCTCTCTCCGTCCAAGTCCTGCCCATCCTTTGGGACTCAACCCAAATGTCCCTTCCTCCAGGAAGCCTCGTTCAGTCCCCTGACTCGAAGTGCTCCCCAGCTGGTGCTCCCACATGCCTTTGTCCTGCTCTTGAAGACCTCGTGTGTCATTTTGTGCTGGGGCTGTCAGGTTTTTTTAAGCCCCTGGCTAGACTGGAAGCTTCTAAAGGACTGCGCCCAGTCTCCCCTCTGCTCTGTGGCATCTCCAGGGCCCTGCACATAACAGGCACCAGTGGCCATGGATCAGAACAGAAGTGGATTGAGCACAATCCAATTTATATATCAGGCTGGGCACAGTGGCTCATGCCTGTAATCCCAGCACTTTGGGAGGCCAAGGCGGGTGGATCACCTGAGGTCAGGAGTTCGAGGCCAGCCTGGCCAACATGGTGAAACTCTGACTCTGCTAAAAATACAAAAATTAGATGGGAATGACGGCATACACCTGTAATCCCAGCTACTCAGGAGGCTGAGGCAGGAGAATTGCTTGAAACCTGGAGGCGGAAGTTGCAGTGAGCCGAGATTGTGACTCTGCACTCAGGTCTGGGCGACAGAGAGAGACTAAAAAAAAAAAAGAATTTATACCTCAGCAGAAGATCATAAATAAATCCCTAGGATATGTGAGTGTGTGTGTGAGCATCGGGCATGTATGTGTGAGTGTGACGTGAGTGTGAATCATGTGTGAGCATATGTGTGTGTGTACTGTGATCATGTGTGAGCGTGAATATGTGCGGGGGTGTATGTGTGTTGTGAGTGTGTGGGAGTGTTCACGTGTGTGTGAACATGTGTGAGTGTGTGTGTGAGATTATGTGTTAGCGTGAATGTGTGGGTGTGTAGGTGTCTGTGTTGTGAGTGTATGTGTGGGAGTGTTAGCATGTATGTGAGCATGTGTGTGTGTTGTGACCATGTGAGTGTGAATATGTGTGGGTGTGTATATGCATGTGTGTGAGTGTGTGAGCATGCGTGAGTGTGTGTATGTGTTGTGAGAGTATGTGTGGGTGTGTGTGAGCATTGTGTGTGTGTGAGCATGTGTGTGTTGTGAGCATGTGTGAGCGTGAATATGTGTGGGCGTGTACGTGTGTGTATGTGAGCATGTGTGTGTGAACTCGTGTGTGTGAGAGCGTGTGTATTGTGAGCATGTGTGAGCGTATGTGTGTGCACAAGCATGTTTGTGAGCATGGGTGTGGAGTGTGTGCAAGAGTGTGTGTCAGCTGGAGGAGAGGCTGGGGGAAGACTGCACAGGCCCCTCTCTCCAGCCCCAGGGATTTGTACCCAGCTCTTGGCACAGCCCAGCAGCTGAGATGCCAGCCTGGCAGGGAGCCCCCGAGGAAACATGGGCTGCTACAGAAGTCGTGCCAAGGATCCACAGCGACCAAGGGCTCCAATCCATTTCTGTCACTCTGGAAGCCAGTTGGAGGCTGTGTCACAAAGCACCAGGCAACCAGGCGGAAGAAGGAGGGAGCCCCCCTCCACCTCCCTGCAGTCCGGGGCAGTTCTGCCCGGGCTGGGTTGCTCACAAAGCCTGCGCTTCTGGTCCTTGGTCTGCTCCTCCCAGTCAGGCACAGTCAGCAGCCCGGAATGACCCTGGACCAGAGTTGCAGAGGGATGGCAGGAACATCCACAACCCAGAGCCGGCCCCTTTCGCAACTGAGGTCTGATAGCGAATCATTAAAAACAAAACAAATTAAAACAAAAGCAATCGTAATTGTAGGAGCTGCTGTCCCCGAGCAGCTGTGAATCCCAGGCCTTTCTGCGTTTCTTTCTTTCATCCACATCTCATTTTTCCTCTCGACTGCACTGTACATCAGGGAGACTTTTCCATGGTTTTAAAATAACGAAAGTGAGGCTCTGGGGGTGAGGGGGGTGTAAGCCATAAATCCAAGATGGCACAACTGGCAAGTGGCAAAGCCCATCTCAAGCTGGGGTTCTCCTGGCACCCGGCGCACACAGGACATGGTTCTTGTGCCCACTGTCCGTGTGGCCACCTGCCTCCCCCACGCAGCCACTCATCCTCGCGGTAAGAGGCATCTTAGTCCTTGAGTGCGGTCAGGGACCAGGAGCCACCAGCAGCT